ATATATATATATATATATATATATATATATATATATATATATATATAATGTGTATATATATATATACACACAGTATATGTTGCTGATTGGACAACACACTGAGAGTGTAACGTAGTTATTGAATATCTGTAGTGAAGCCAATCTTATTATTGTTAAAAAACTGTTTCAGCAGAACTGCTTTTGAATTTAAAGGAGGACAGGAGAAACTGATAAATAAGCCACGTTGCAGGATTTGCAGAATTTTCTCTTTGCAGCTCTGAGTTTGATATGCAGCCTTAAAAATGTTATCGGTCAGCCAGAGGTGAGACGCGTTTGGGGTGGATAGAGGACACGGGCTATCCAAACATGAGCGTGACCGCAAGTTGGGAGACTGAGTGACATTGTTATGGTACATAAGCTGAGAAAAGCAACAACCATGGAAAAATTGTGTCAGTTTGGGAATTCTGTTGGATTGGTAGACACTACATTACAGCAAGCATCAAAATAAATGAAGAAATGGTCCTCAAGAGGCGTGACCATTCATTGCTAATGCAATGAAGGAATACTGTGTTTGTCCCAGAGGGAAATAATATGGCTGCAGAAATATTTCTCGGCAAACCTATTCTAAGCCTTTATCAGACGTGACGCTGCTGGCAGCAGCATCCTTTTGCTCAACACACTCACTGGAATTTGGAGCATAAACAGTCTAATTAAGATATTCACAATGCCTGAAAAAAAAATCCACAACAGAGTTTGTTTTGATGTTCAGCAGCGGCCTGAGCAAGTTTAACAAGAAGAAAGCTTCATCATCTTACCTCCTGCACAGATGCTCGAGGGTTCCGCTGCCAGGATCTCTATACATGATTTCTTCAGGATCTGAGGAGGTCGAGACATAAGCGTCAGGATTTGAGCCTTGATAGAAATAATTTGACGCTGTTCAGTCTGTTTTCGTATGAGTGGGTTTCAGTCACCAATATTTTCATGGCCAGCTTTGGAATTGCTTTTTTTTTTGTAAATTAAGCTTGTGGCACTTAAAGATTTATGCTCATTTGTCTTCTAAAGGCCAATGAGGAATCTCTAAGAATTATTTTTCTGTCTAGGAACACACTTACTGTGACCCTGAAACAAAAAGAAGATAGATTCTTGACCCACTGGCACACTCATGTGAATAAGAAGTCCTTTGCTTTTCTGTTAATCTTTTCCAGATGCCTGTAACGGCCAGGCTTTTACCTTATCCGTCAAACCATTTCCCTTCATTTTGTCTACATTATCAGTTTAGAGTTTCATTGTGTAATTTGCTGGTTTGACAAACATGTTCTTTTTGTGGCCCTAAACTTGTTTACACGCTCTGCGTTGTGTAAATTTGTAGAAACAAATGAATGCTTACTGAATCAATGACCCCCTGCAAAGCTGCAAATCCGTCATTTACAGGGAAGACGTGGTCTTTGCTATCCGCAATCTTGGCCAACTGGAAAGAAAACCCATAATTTCCATCAGAAGTGGCAAGTGGGACTGTTTAATAGTTAAACTGCAGATGTTACACCACAGGATAACAAAGGATACGACACTAACCGTGACATATTGTAGTGATTAGGCTACCAAACATGTAAATAATGTTAGAAAAAAAAGCATTTAAGCCTGTGTGGAGCATATGACTCCTTAGAAAACAACTACTTCTGGAACAGTTACTTCATATTCGATTTCCAGGAATTATTGACATATATAACACTTTCAACTTTAGATGAGGATAAAACTTAAAAAATAAAGACCTGCGTCTCGTTGAAGTCCTTGACTCCTACGCAGTAAACCGAGGCACCCAGACTTCTGGAGCGATAGGCCTGTCAGGTATGCACACACAGTGAGATGGACAAAAACAGGAAGAAACCCAACACCTGGGTTCAATTACACCGCTGCTTTTTCCGACACCCCCCCCCCCCCAAAAAAAAAAGGAGAGCCTTCTCATCTGGCTGTTAACAAGGCTAGATGTTGAAGAATGAGCATTGTAATGGAGTGACATTAATTTCATGAAACAAACATTTCGAAATGTTACACATGTCTGAGCAGCAAAAAGGATGCCCAAACCCATTTGCCATTTCCAAGTTATGATACCCACAAAGTATGGTGATCACACACTGAGTGGTATAGCACATCCCACAATTTCCAAGAAAACATTTCCAGCCATCAGAAAACCTCAGTCTCACTTAATCTCTGCTGTCAGCTGGTGTCTTAGACTGTTAAAAGCTGCACTTTCATGCACTTCTTCTCATCCAGAGCCCGAAGAGTCTGTGAAACATGTGAATTATTGCATCCTGGTGATGAATGTTCTTCCTTTAGAAGTAAGATCAAAGCAATAATGTATCGTGTAGCAGCATTTCATGTGCTCCGTCAGATGTCCAGCCACATGTTTCACCTGGTCACAGCACTTATTTTCCTCTCTCACCTCCCTCTCAGCATGGTAGAAGAGATCTTCATGGAGCTCTCCATCTGTTAGAGCAATGATAACACTGGCAGTCCGATAACCTGCAGATAGAAAGAATTTTCTGTCACTTTTATCCCATTTTTCATCAATCAAGACTGGTAATAACATTTTGTTTGATTAAAAATCAAACCTAATCTAACAACTAAAAGTCTATTTGAAGAGGTTTGATGTCTGCATCAGCTGGACTCTCTAAACAATGACCAATGACAAAAGCACTTCAGCATTAATAAGATCATTAAGGTCCCATGTCCATTTGGTTTGCATCTTATTCTAATAAAGTAGACTTCATTACTAACTTAAGTTGGTACAAACTGAAAAAAAAAATACAATTATTCTTCATGCAGCTGAAATTTGGTGTATTACAGGTCCTGTTCACAAACCCTTTGGTAAATATTTTAACCAATTTAAACTCTAACCCCGTTAGGGTTTAACGCCAATACTACATTAACACTAACATATCTGGCTTTTTGGTCCAGGTAATACACACCTTCTATGTTTCCGTAGTAAATCTGCTCGTTGGCCTGTGAAAAAATGAAAAGCAGCATTGGAACGTTCATGGACATTCAATGAATGAAGGAACTACTTTTTCAAACACAGCCCTTTACTACTCTGGGCTGTTTGCTTGAGTCAAAGCAGGTGCTAGCCTGGAGGCGGATGAAAAGGTCTCACCCTCAGGATGCCCTCGTGCATGAAGGTGTCTCCCCCTGTCTGAACGTCATGGAGCTCCTCCAGACCCTTACGAATACGCTCCCTGTGCAGATGCAAATCCAAATAGTAGAAAAAACATAGTGTTTACAATCTTGTCTGATCAAAATATTGACTGTTTCAACACACTTTTTCATCAATGCCAGACGCAGTGATTTGTGCCGTAATGATAGCTAGATTGATAGTTTCCAAAAGGACATGATGTTTTCAGAAAACAGAGGTTATGTTTAACAGATGAGTAAACTAAAAAAAAGTGTCATATTAGGGTGCTGGCCCATAACAGTATCCTTGTAATAGATGGGAAATAGACTCTTTGTAGACAAAGATAGAAAGAAAACACTGAAACTGAAAACTTTTTCACAGGAAAAACAGTTCCATAAACTTCCCACAATCTGTCGAAAGCCACATGATTAAGTAGTTGTCCAGGCAGACAAGACTGTAGACAAATCCCAGCAAAGGAAAGTATCTGTCTGGATTCTTTTTTTGGCCATAAAAATCATAGATCACAATTTTGTGTGACCTCTCTCCAAATCTGTTATTACAGTCATTCTGTTCAGCCTGATGATAGAAAAAGGAAAGGATTAAAAGCACCCACCTGTCCTCTGTCAGGCTCATCAGGATCTGTCCCCCAGTGGAGAACACAATGAAGGACATCCGCAACTGTGGGCTGGGGTAACGGGGGAGGAGAAATACTCTCTTTTAGATGGGTAATCAGCTCCCATGTGCGATTTCATGCTTAACGAATGCATTTACCTCACAAATTTCTGTGCTAGATGCTCAACAAACTGGTAGATTTCATTCCAGTGGTTCTGCACACTCCCAGATCTGACAAAAAGAAGACACAAATGAACACAAGCATCTTTTTTCACATGCCACTGTGCATCTAAATTCAGTGATAAAGGACCATATAGCACATAAACCCTCCGCCCCTCTTTGACCGGAGCAGTCAGAAAGAGACAGAGTGCTGAGCAAAGCAGCACTGTGTTGACTGTTATGATTTTGTTGCCATGTCCCATCAATTTGCGGTTCTATCACATACAGATTCTCTGATTGTTTATGGTATTACATTGCTCAAATCTCTGGCTTTTGAGCCTTTGTCCAGCTGGCGCTTTGTGGTTAGAAATGCAGCTGCTGAACAGAGAAGTCCTCAGAATAATACAGTCTGGGGGTGGGTAGGTTGAGGGGGGGGGGTTGGGGTGTCGCTTTGGGCACCAAGGTGTAGCAATGATGTCATACTTTACAGATTAGTCTGAATGTACCTAAAATATTTCATATTTTAGGGGGAACCTTCATTACTGAAACCAGCTGTGTAATCACACCTCTGTCAGACTGGATGTAAACTGACTCTCTTCCCTCTTCTAACTAATTTGCTTCTCACTTGTTCCTTGTCATATTTTAACTTGACAGTTTAGTCCACTGCATAGTAATAGTGACAAAGGTCACTCTTCGTTGCTCCACTGTGAGTTTTTTGAGCTTGTGTGTCTTTTTCTACAGTAAGTCACTTCCTATGAGAATGTCTTTCAATTAAACTTTGTTTTCATAGGTCCCTCATTTCTCAAACACATATTTTTCCATCGTTACCATGACACAAGTCCCACCACAAACAGCCCAGCCAAGAGGCTGAAACATTGGAACATCTGGCCCAAATGGAGAGAGGCAGTGCAGACTTGGAGAGGAGAGATCAGGCAGATACTGCGAGAAGACAGAAGGGGCATGTGAAGGACATTGCTGCTTAAAGGCAGTGCACGGTCCTGCCTAAGGCTGGAAAATGAAAGTAAAACAAGCAGCAAATTGAGGCTTGACAATAAATGCTGTCAGAGCTATGAAATGTTTATACCTAAAACACAGTAAGGATAAACAACTGTTCTCTTTTATGCACAGTTAGAAACAGCAATGTGCCAGAAGAATTGGCATTGACATGTCTTTTAAAGGAACATTGGAAAATCTGTGTCCATATCCAGAGGCAAAAAATGTCCACACTGTCACGCTAAAGAAAAATCCTCTCATAACAGTCCTACAAGGAGAAAAATGATGAGATTAATTGGATCAAGAAATCTGTTGATTTGGTTGCCAGTCAAACATTCACTGCTACAGGAACCTTAAGATTATTTTTCCAACAATATAAAGATCTTCTCCAAACTGAGAGAACTCAATAGAGTTTATTCAAAAGGCTGCTCATACAATTAAATCAAATATCAAAAAAGGAAAAAATCAAAGCTGTGGCAGATCCCTTTATCTGGTCGAGTAAATGTGGTCGCTAAAGCCCTGGGTAGCGTTTCAGCAGCTGCTGACGGTGCATTGCTGAAGGAAAACACTAAGCTTGCTCGAATCCAACTTGCATAAACAGGAATGCATGACCAAAGCAATGAAGTGACTTTACTGAGCTCCCACTTAGGCGACACAGACCATACTGACAGAGAAAACAGCAGGCTTTAAACATGTTGAATGACAAACAAATGAAGTGTGAACCTTCATAATTAAACATTGGGAAGCTTTAGTTGACCTAACAATAAATGCCCCCATGTGGATGAAAAGCAAATAGAGCAGTTGACATCAGAGCTTACAGTGTGAGGAGCCTGCAGCTGACTGATGAATGGGGGGAGCTCCTCAGGCTCCACTAATCATTACCATATGCAGATATATGCCATGCTAACTAAGCCAGGCAGGACGTCGCATTTTCAATCTGGGTTATGATGACAGAATAAGCAATGATATCATACACAGAAAGACCTTCTCTGATGTTAGCTGTGAGAATCACAATAGCAGCATTGCAGCAAATAGACTTATACATTTTTACAATGCAATGCTTTCATAACTATGAGTTTAAGTTTTTTATGATATTTTTGACACATTATTAACAGGTGACAGTTTATTGGGTGATTCAAGTCATCAAGATAAATTCAGGGTAATACTTATGAGATTTGAAAATGTATTCTATCGTTGTCATGCATCTTTCTCAAATCTTTTAATTGAAATGGTTCCCACATGTCAGCAGACAGACACATAGACATGCCTGTATCGGTCTCAAGTTTTGTGTGTTGAGCAACTTACTTATCCAAAACAAAGTAGAGGTCAAATCCTCCGATGCAGGATGCCTGAGCCTGCCTCCGGTCCCGGTTTGGTCCAGCTTTAACAGCAGTGAGAGCAACCAGAGTGGCACCAAAAACCACTGGCACCCAGAGGCGCCTGCTCCAACACAGAGGCATTACTCCAGCTAAAGCAAATCTAAAAGCGCTCACACGATGGAGACAACCACCTCAAGTGTTAAAAAAATAAAGCAAGTTCTTCTCACAATCCTCTTGAGAGGTTTCCAGGAGCAAAAGGCAGTAATCCTTGGGAGAGCTGAGAGCGTGGCCGGGTTTGAAGAGGAAAAGTGAGACAAAGCCGGAGAGTCAATGGCACCCTCTCATCACTTTGTGCAAGGCATGCACACAGATGAGCGTCAAACCCTCCCCTTTTGTTTATGTCGGGGCCATGCAGCAGACAGATCCTCAAACCCTCTGTGCATTTGCTTAACTTTCTTTGGTTTTCCAAGTCTCTCTCTCCTCCTCCGCGTGTAAAGTGTGATGAAGACAATGTAGTCCAAAGTGCAGAATCCTCTGACTCCTCCTGCCATCTAGTGGTGGTGAAAGGCTGCTTTGCTCTGTGATGGAACACTGTAATGAATACAAGCTTTTAGACTATTCAATTGCTTTTATGAAGATTTGCTATCAATTCTGAATTGGCAGCAGTTAGAAACTTTCCACATCAGATCATTTTCATCCCTTCCTCTTATTTGACAGCAATATGCCAATTCTGGAAATGTAAATTTAGGTTAAAAGTTACATTTTCAACTGAGATTTGGCTGCATGTTGAAAAGAAAACAAAGTGATCATTAAACTTCATTTCTGCTCAACTATTCTTAGATTTTTCTTAATCAGATAACTAATAAGGAACACAATCTAATTCAATGTTGTGTAACAGATAACGCTGTTTGACCTATGTACAATGTTTATGTTTATTCATGTGATGACGATTTCATTCCTGTCTAATGATTGTGGGTTTCTGGTTTGGGAATATGCCATTCACTCTTATGTGGGTATTTCAGGTTGTTTCAATTCCTCTCTACATTAGTTTTCTGTCCAGTTTTGTGCTAAATATGTTCAGTTGTCCAAGTAGTCATAACAACACACACACACACACAGCTTGCTTTTCCTCAGTCATTTCCCAGATTTTGCGTGAAGTCATTTCATCCCAGCATTTCAGCTTTTTTCAATTTTTTAAATAAACTTTTGTATCAATAAAACATTGGAAACGATTTAATGTTCTTGTTTTGAAAACACCAGAATAATTGACTTTTGTTAAAAAAAGAGGTCTGAATAAAGGACAAGTAAACATGGAAATTGTAGGCTGGAAAGGAATTGGCAGAGCCAAAATCCACGTCAAATGGATTATAAAACTGTTTAAACTCACTCTAAATCTGGACACAGAAAAGTGAACAGTTGCGTGATACACACTTATCAGCTTGTTGTAGAGGTCAGGGAGTTTGTTTAGTCTACTTTTCTTCTTCCTGTGATGGCCTTTTCTTACCAGGGAACTCCGTTGTGTAATAGTGATGATCCCAAAGAAAGCAAGACACTGTTTTGCTTTTTGTTTACCTCAGGCCCTTTCAGCAAATGCATGATACATGGCTGTTTGAAAAAAAAAGGAAATAACCCAAGCCAGAAGAGTTGGTGGCACAATAAGTTTACAGTGACAGAGGTGTTGGGTTTTCAGGAAATGAAAGCCAGTGAAATGTGATATATCCTCACATTCAAATAGCATGTGTCCTGATTTACATACACTTGACAGTGTTTATATTGCATTTAGAAATGTCTTTCATGTGTGTCCTATATTTGGTGTATTTGCAGAGATATAGCATAGCTCTTATCGAGTCGTTTATAAGGCCTTTAATGAACAAATCTGTTGATAAAAGTATTACATAAGGATTGGGGGGTACAGCAAATAATGAGCCAAAGGAGTCAAGAAAAATATTCACTTTATTATTTGACAATTTCTCTGATAAAGTGCATTAACATATTTAAAAGCAAGAAATTTGACATTTAATTTGATATTACTTAATTGTTTCTTTACGACCTTCATGACAAAGAGTCCATCACTTTCCTACTGCCCCAAAAACTGGACAGAGCACAGATGGGTCATCTCTCTTATGCACAATGTATTGACATCGCTTTTTGTCAAACACTGAGACACAGTCCTCCGGAAAGCTCCTTGGTGTGCTATAGCTGAATTCAAACAGTAAAAATAAACAATTAAACATGTCAAATTACAGAAAAATAAGCCTGTGATAATTCTGTGATCTGTATACTTACGCAGTACAGCAGCCAGAACAAGTACATTCCATGCATTCGCTGTTTATCCACGAAGACCCAATTTTATGCCATGTGTTATCTGTGATATCTTTGCAATGAGTTAGGCCTATTGGTGTACAAAAAATAAATGAATAAGAATACAATAATTATGTGCTTTAAATAGAAGAAAAAAGAAA